TCGGGCCCCTGACGGGATTCGAACCCACGACCTTACGGTTGCGAGTCCGAGAGCCTAACCACTAGGCCACCGACGCCACAAAGTTGTGTTCTAAGTTGGAAGATGATGGATTGATCTCCCCTCCTCAACTCATTGATTGACGTTATGTTGATGAGGTAGTTAAACATTCCCCAAACAACTACACAATAAGATGGGAATTTTCAAGTCCAGTCAAAAATTTGCGGCGCAATTTATTGTCAAATATTTCCCAAAGTATGAATTGAAACATAGACTCTCCTACTTTATATTTTAGTGGATTCTAGAAAATTTCTTATAAAATAATGTATTAATTTTAAAAATTCAAGCGGGTGCTTTCTAGAGATTGTAAAAGATGTACAGCTGGAGCAATATCGCTTTTAAAAGCAAGTCCGTATTTTTTCCTAACCATGACACTATCTTTATTGAACGGGTTTTTAAGTACTTTTAGTGCAAAAAAATGTGTTCACTCTGAATAAAATTAATTCCTTATAACAAGTTTTGCCACAAAAAAGTGTCATTTGTGAGCTGTGACGTAGGCCATATGCCTATGTGAAATGTGTGTGAGAAACGGGAAGTGCTGGGAACAATGAACAATCCCATTTTCGGAGTGAAAGAGATTTATAGTACATGTTTAATTTAGAAAGACAAATATTGTGGGGGGGGGGGATATGATTTTAAAAGTTAAAACAAATTGATATAAACTGCTGTGCAAAGTATGGGGTGAACATTGATTCTCACGTTAAAAGAGATATTTGAGGATGAGTTACGCCACGAATTTTGGACCGCACTATAGCTCGTTGTTAGCGTATTCTTATTCTCCGTCATAATAACATAATAACAGCGACAACGTTAGCAGATATAATAATATACGGGTTGTGTGACCATGTTCATTCAGCATTTGGAAGAAGAAGAATGAATTATTTACTCGTGCGTTTCGATCCAAGCTTTCTGCACAACCTTTTGATGTGTTGATGTTGTTTCATCTGTGTGGTGTATGCTGCTGTGTGTTTGCTGGAGA